GCCTGGAAAAGCCGCCACAGAGTCTGGTAGCTGCAAATGGGTTTCCTTGTGTCTACTTGCTTCATTTCTCCATGAAAAAGAGCCGCCATTGCCATTAGACCCTCTTCTCATTGCTATTTTCGTATTTTCAGCCTACAAGGAGAAAATGAAGGAGCTGTCTCTGCTCTCCCTCATCTGCTCCTGTTTCCACACCCAGCCCCATCCTAACACCATCTACCAGTATGGAGGTACGTAACCAGCTCCCGCAGGAGCTGCAGCATCGTTTGCCCGATGCTTCTGCAGGCAACGCAGGAGCTCGTCGGCGCGCTGGGCTGTCCCATCCCGGAGCAGCAATCCGTGTCTCAGCCCGGGGTCTTTCTGTTTAGTCTCCTTTCAGTTTATTTTATTAAAGTAACGCACATTGCTGCAAATGGGTTTCCTTGTGTCTACTTGCTTCATTTCTCCATGAAAAAGAGCCGCCATTGCCATTAGACCCTCTTCTCATTGCTATTTCGTATTTTTCAGCCTACAAGGAGAAAATGAAGGAGCTGTCTCTGCTCTCCCTCATCTGCTCCTGTTTCCACACCCAGCCCCATCCTAACACCATCTACCAGTATGGAGGTACGTAACCAGCTCCCGCAGGAGCTGCAGCATCGTTTGCCCGATGCTTCTGCAGGCAACGCAGGAGCTCGTCGGCGCGCTGGGCTGTCCCATCCCGGAGCAGCAATCTGTGTCTCAGCCCGGGGTCTTTCTGTTTAGTCTCCTTTCAGTTTATTTTATTAAAGTAACGCACATTTTCCCAGAAAGAAACTACTTGCAGAGGCTGTCTGCTTCGTACTGGGGTGACGTGCAAGATGTTAACAGCAATATGGCCTTTCTGTAATTATGCTGTGAATTTAAATTGATTGCATTGACTTGGGAGGGATGAAGCTGATCACTAATCGGGAAATTTTGGAGATAGAACAAAATCACCCACATCAGGACATGGGAACACCCTAACTCCTATGTGAAGAGCTCAGTGCCCTCAGGTGAACGCTCTCCTGAGTGTCACAGGTCCACAGAGCCTTTGTTTTCCCCCCCCCAAAGATATGGAGGTGAAGCAGCTGGATAAGAGGGCATCAGGCCAGAGCTTCGAAGTGATCCTGAAGTCCCCTTCAGATTTATCTCCCGAGAGCCCGATCCTTTCCTCCCCCCCCAAGAAGAAGGACCTGTCCCTGGAGGAGCTGCAGAGGAGGCTGGAGGCTGCAGAAGAGAGGAGGAAGGTAACGAGATGTCCTGTAGAAGCAGTGACTTTTCTGTGACGGGTACTAATTGCACCAAACCCTAAAACTGGCTCAGCAGGAGCAATCTAAAATGGCTGGAAATAGTGTTTTTACACTTCTTATTATATTCCACTATAAATTGTCAGGTGAGACGTGGGAGTCATGGAGTGAGGTTCTGCAGCCTGGTTTAGGCAGGGAATTGGACTCGATGATCATCGTCGTCCTCCTGTTCTTAAAACCACACGGTGTGGGGTCCTCTCGGTCCTCCGCGTGTGACCTGGCTGGGGGGGGCCGTTCTCACCAGCTAATGCTGCAGATGTAGCACTTGGTCACACACCCAACTTAAACTCCAAACCTGAACGCAGCCTTGTGTTTCTAACAGCTGGCTGTGCCACATCGTACTGTAAGTGCTGTATAAAATGTCTGCTGGCGAAAAATATTGAAAAGGAGAAAAGGGGCAGAGTAAAACAAAGTATAAATGTCACGAATGTCGGTGGGTGAGGGGAGAGCAAGCTGAAATAATGAGGTGACACTCGGAGAGGGGACTCTGTGCCCGCACGGATGTCACCTCGGTTTTGCTGAGCCGGTGGGCACAGTGTTGCATCGCCTGCCCGCCTGGAGCACCGGACCGAGAGGGGACTCTGTGCCCGCACGGATGTCACCTCGGTTTTGCTGAGCCGGTGGGCATCGCCTGCCCGCCTGGAGCACCGGACCCAGCAGACATTGCCCCATAGCAGGAAAAAGGTGTCAAAGCATCTTCCAAGCAAGAGCGTCATGGGATGGAGGAGGGTGGCGGAGTGGTTTTGAGCAGAGGAGATGGCCAGAAAGCCTCTCTGGGGAGTTGAAGGCTAGAAGAGCCTCTTCGGTTGCCTTACACCTCTCCCGACGCCTTGCCTCGGCAGACCCAGGAGGCGCAGGTGCTGAAGCAGCTGGCAGAGAAACGGGAACACGAGCGGGAGGTGCTGCACAAGGCGCTGGAGGAGAACAACAACTTCAGCCGCCTGGCCGAGGAGAAGCTCAACTACAAGATGGAGCTGAGCAGGGAGATCCGCGAAGCACATCTCGCCGCCTTGAGGGAGCGGCTCCGTGAGAAGGCGAGTGCGATGCCGCGGGAGAGGGCTGGGTGCTGATGCCCATGGCCGGGTTTGGGGTCTGGTCCCTGCGGGGTCATCCCAGAGCGATGGGCACAGGGGAGCGGGCGTTTCGTTGCTGGTGGAAAGCGGGCTGTGGAGCAGCTCCGCTCTGGAGCAGCACGAGGAGGGGGGGATTTGTCCTTCAAGGTCAGTAGAGAAAATACCATCTGGCTGATCTTGATAAGTGCAAGCTCAAAGGCACAGGATCAGGCCCGCTCTGTGCCCAGGGGCTGCGTGGCCGAAGGGCTTTGCAGAAGAGGGGAGCCGTGAACACGTTCGCTGTAAGTTTGCATCACCTCCAGGCTCCCGCAGATGAGATGCTTCGCTCCTTGCAGGTGTAGCCCACTGTCCTGGGGGTGTGTCGGATGGGAAACCGGTCTCTTTTTTTCAGTCTGGTGCAAATCCTGTGTGCAGGAGAGAAGGAAAATAGAGATTGCAAGAGCAGAAAGTGTTAGCCTGGTGTCGTCTCTCCCGTCTTTGCAGGAACTGCACGCAGCTGAAGTTCGCAGGAACAAGGAACAGCGGGAGGAGATCTCTGGATAAAGGGCTTTTCTACACATCTAGCACCTGATTCCTGTTAACAAACCAACCAATCCACCAACCAACACATTTTATTTTGTTTGTCTAGATGCAACATTCGGTTCTCCATCCCCCCCTCCCCTGGTGTTTGTCCCCCAGCTACACGCTTCTCTATCTCTGCATCCTTAATCGTCAGTTCTTGTGGGGATTCACAGATCATAGGGACCTCTAAGCAGAATAGCAACTAGTTCACATGAAGTAGAGAATTGATCAGTCAATCGAACAGCTTCTTTGGAGGGTTTTGTCCTTTTTTAAAAAAAAATTTCTTAAACTAATGTAAAAAAAAATTAAGATATTAATAAATTCAACCAGCAGTGTCACGGAGATACAGATTTCTTATCCGGGGCTTTTACTCCTCTTGGTGTTTGCTCTGAGCCAAGTATCAGTTTCAGAATAATGGGAAGTAAGTGATAATTTCTGCGTGTGAAGTGGAATAGGGAACAGCCCCATGTTTGCCAGCGGTAGGAGAGAGGAACGAGAGAGGGATGGGATGGCTCAGGAGTCGTGGCGTGCAGACCCCCCATCTCTTGGCTGTATCTGGAGCCAGCCCAGGCAGGCAGTGACCCAAAGTCCTCGTCTTTGGATGATTCTTTGATAGCCCGTGTGAAAGTAAGTGAAGGTCTCCACGCAGAGCTCGGTGCCGGGTGCCACGTCACGGAAGGTCCCTGTCACGGCAGGCACCGCCTGATGCCCTGGTTGGCCACGGGCTGGAGGAGCCCGTAGACTGAGCTACCTTCTCCCCAGCGGAGCAGGGACCGAGAGGTCTTGGCTGAGCAGCCTGGGAGAACCGCAGACGGCGATTGCATCCCCAGCTCCGCGGGAGCCCTGGGAGAGGGCGCTCGGTCTGCGGGCTCTCCAGCACTCCCAAAGCATGAGGTTTCACTCCAGTAAGAAAGCAAATCCAATAGAGACGGTGCATGGTTGTGAAATAGCCTTGCAGCGAACAGAATAATCATCCTTCCCTCTTCCCAAAGATGGATGTGACTCTTCAGTGCCATTACAGGGCAGACACCGAGACCGGAGATCGCCAGATGAGCCCCGGAGCTCTGGCTCGTAGGCAGCAGCCTGGGAGGCAGGGCATGCCAGCTGCCTGCCTGGTACCTCCAGACCGGTGGCTTTGGATGAGAGGGAGCTAAGAGGGGAGCAGTTCTGTGGTAAGGGTGAATAGATGTCCCCGTGCTCATTCCTTGTTTATCTTTAGCTTTTCAAGGCCTATTTTTAAGAAAAAATTGTCTCTTCGTGGAGGTAGGGATGAGCAGAGAACATGCAGGCATGGCAGTAATGTCTGAACTAAATAGGTGACTGTCAAAGCCCATGGACTTCCTAATCTTCTAGAGTCACGGCTTATGGAGGTAGCCAAGGTCCAAGCAGCCACCGTGCACTGCGAGGGGCTGCCACCCTTCCGCCAAGATCCACAGACCTGCTCACCTTGCCCCAGCTCTGCTTCTGCCTTGAAAAACTGAGTGGAAATGCTGCATCTGAAAAAGCAGGGAATGGCAACCTCCCGGCAAGCGGGGACTCGTAGGACACGGCGCTGGGGACTCAGCCCTGCAGGAGCACGGTCCTGCGGCAAGGCTTTGCAGAGGAGGTAGTGGAAGCTGCTTTCATTTGAGGCAGACGGTAACAAGAATTCCCCTCTGTCCAGTGCTTAAAGATCACTGGGTTGTCACCTTTTTAACAGGCTGGTGCAGTGTTTTGGGGAGGCGGCAGCGGGGTGGGCAGCGCAGGGTGCCTGCATGGTATTTACACCAGGGCACCGCTCCCCTCCACCTCGCGATGGCCCCTCCGTCCTGGCTGCCCTCTCAGACCCCAGAATAAACCAAAGGGGCATCCGAGGCACCGAGACGTTTAATTACCGGTAATTGGTGTCCTCTGCACGCTGTGCCTCCAAAGAGCCATTCTGTGGGTGGGATGAGAGACTCCTGTGGTGGGCTTTGCAGGATCCTTGGGGAATAATTTAAGCGCGCAGGGGGTGCAGACGTGTGCACGGGCAGCCCGGCAGCAGGGCACAGGCACAGCCCAGCCCGGGGCTTCCGGGGACCATGCTCTGCACGGCGGTGCCAGGAGCTCGAGCAGATGAGGGGTTTGCACGGGGAATAATGACCCCCTTGCCTCTCCTCCCCTCTGAAAAAGAAATCATCACTGAGTCTTGTCAGAAGCTGAAGATTTCTGTCTACCCCGTGCTTTAATTAGGTAAAGAATTGATTGCGGCCTGGGGTGAGCATCAGGCAGTTGCGGAAACCCCACGGAAAGCCAAAGAGCAGCAGCTGCTGGAGATGAAATCCCGGGGCTCTTTGCTAATCTCCCCAGAAGTCCCAGCTGGATTCAGGAGAGATCCCTCGATGGTCACGGTTTGATGTTAGGGGACACTCTGCTCCTAAAAGGAAGGGCTACCTTACTCCCAAACCCCTCCACCTGGGCCGGGGGGAGGACAGGACGGTTAGAAAGTCTCAGCGCTGCCCAGTGACGAAAAAAATAAGATTTGGGGCAAAGAGGAAGGAAACTGAGGGTTGAATTTCTTAACAGTAGCTAATGATCAGTTTATAGTAGCAGCTGTCTTAGATAAGCATCTGTGTAGAGCGCGGCATCACCGCCAGCATCACCTCATTCATATAGTGACGAGAAATTTTAAAAAGTTTAAAAAAAAAAAATTTAAAAGTAATTTAAACGAAATGTTTGTGTGTAAGAAATGGTTGAAACTGTCAAATGTCTGTGTCCCGCGTTGGTGGGATCTGAGAAGGTATCTGCGAGATATTAACCCTGTCCTACTCTCTGTGGTGCTGAGTGTTTGCTTGGTGTGTAATTCTGACCTGGAGCTTGTTGTAAATACTGTTTTTAGTACTATGATTATTATGATTATTATGATTATTATTATCAGAAATGTTGTACTCATGAGCAGGAGTTTAAAACAAGAGGAACGACCGTTTTCACTCCCTCCTTGGGGCTCAGAAGGCGTCGGAGGCTGGGCTGGGTGAAGGCAGGGTGCCGGCGAGGTGGGATGCCAGACCAGAGAGCAGCTGGAAAATCACGGAGTGGAGAGCTGGAGGCACCCGAGTCCTGCGGGCAGGGGGGTGAGAGTAGGGACGGGCTGCTCCTCGTGCTGGGAGGAGAAGGAAGGGCTGAGAGGTGTGATAGAGGTGATGCTTCAATTCTGGTACGTATAATTTAGTGTTCACCCAAACCTCCTCGTGTGAGGGGATCCAGGCTGTTCCCTGCAGCCCTGGGGGGAGGCCGGAGGAGCTGCGAGGTTTGGCGTGTGCTGAAGGAGGAGCGGTCGGTGGCAGGTTGTGCTGGTTAGAGCCGTCCTCCCCAAACAGCTACTGAGTCTCTGGACTCGGTTCTTGCCTGGATCTGCCTTTGTGCTGCCAGCTTAGGGCCTGCGCCCGCTCTCCTCCCCCTCCCTGGAGGCCAGCCTGGATCTCAGGTGGGGACTTACTCTTGCAATAGCTTTGTCTGGCAAAAAATCCCATGGGAAACGCACAGGAGAGCGGCCCGGCACACGGTGCTCATGCAGGTGTGAGCACTGGGAAACTCATTTTTCTCACCTCCGTCAGGTCGGTGCTGTGAGGGACAGTGGACGTGGCTGGAAAACGTGTTACTGCAGGGTAAGCTCCTGCGCCAGAGGAGCAGGGATGTGCAGGGAGAGCTTTGCATCGGTAACGTCAGGGGACCGGCTCTGTTACTGCTGCTGAGACGTGTCGTGCCAAGGAAGCAACCTCATCCGTGGGGCCAGATGCTTTAGGTGTAGCAGAGCGATGTTTGCCCGGTGCAGATGAATGTAGTAGGGAAGTCGGGGAGCTTGACATTTGTCCGGTGCCACTGGACGCTATCAGGGAAATGTGTGATTGCTTTGGCTGCGTGCCCCAGCTCCCGCGGTTTCGGCTGGACGAGGGGTGTCACCCACCCACCGTGCTGCTCCAAACCCACAGGGACGGTGCTGCCGGCGCCAGCAGCTAACGCGGTGCCGTGCCCGACCGGCAGCACACGGTACAGTCTGGGATCACGGTTATTTCATGCCTTTCCATCTCCCAGGGTTGCTAACGGTTGTGTGCAGCACCATACTTCATGCCTCAATTGAGACTAATTAAGTATCCTCATTAACATCCTCACCATCCCAGCCTCCCTCATTCCCGGACCGTTCCCACATACCGCAGTGGCGGACACGGCATGCAACCCTCCCCCGCCAAAACCCCAATGGGGGGAAAGGGGATGAAAACCCCCCCCCCCCCCCCCCCGAACCCCCACCGCCCCGACGGCGAACCCCCCACCCCCCCCCCCCCCCCCCCAATTCCCGGGGGTCA